TAGTGAAGACGAGAACACTTCTGACGGTTAAGAATCCAAAAAAAAAGCGTCCAGGAAATCCTGCTTCTTCTGAACCGCCAATTACCGATAAATCCCACTCACCCCCACCTGAGCGAGCTCGTTCCTCATCCCTCAGTACCATCAGCACCTCCTCTGAAGATACCAGTGAGTCTGAGGAACAGGAGAAAGAGCCAGAGAAGACAAAAGACCCCGAGTCAAATGAAGTTCATCATCCCGACGAACCACCCCCACCAAACCCCTCCACACCCAACCCAGGACCTGAATCCCCAAACACCTCGCCAAACATCCCCGAAATAATCACCCTAGAAAACTTTACTCTTATTCCAGGTGATTCTCTTCGTTCAGAGTTGCAGAAGTTGGCAGAATGGTTCCAGAAAGGTCGAGTCTCAAAGACGAAGTGGGAGAGAGGCTGGAATTCACTTTGCCCCATGTTGAAGTTTCGGTTGACCTCACCAGAGATTTCCAAGATTCCCACTGCCTCATTCGTCTATAATAATGCACAATTCAATCACGAGAGTTGGATCAAAGAAATTTGTGAATCGAGTAAGTGTTCCCACTGTTCATAACACATCCATCTTTTTTCAATTAATATGTGACTGACTTATTTTTGATACAAAATTGTAGGTAATTCTATGCTTTCCTTCTCAGAATCCGAACCATGGTATAGTCCAGATGTCCTCGACTTGGAGCTATTGAAGAAGCAAATCCAATCAGCCAACCCGATTCTCCCACTCAATTCAAAAGCCAGTCACCCAGAGTCCAACATTTTTCGAGCTCTTGTATCCTTAATCAACACACCCAACCCTCGGCTTATCCGTGAATGGGCCAAGAGTGTTGCCCTGTCAATACAACATATATCCGATGAAAATCCCCAGGCGCCAAGAATCAAAAGTAAACCAAACTCCATGGAACGACATCTTATTGTATTGACCTGGCTTAACACGATGAAGAACACCATGCCCAACCTTCCACGACTTACGGAGGGAGATGATACTGATGGACAAAGTACGAATCAACAACTCACCACCTGCGCTCCATTATCCACCGATGATGCATTGGACGACCTTAGAAAGATGATAATTGATCTGATGATGTCATATACTATCATCCAAGCACACATTGACGAGCAGTTCAACCCACGGAAAAAGAATAAGTCCCGAAAAACTTCCTCAGATACAACGACAGTTCAAAAATCAGATCAACATAGTAGTCTATCGAAAATCGAAAGTAAACATAATTATTTCCCATTCGTTTACTACCTCCTTGGAGGTGTCCGTGGACTCTTCACTGCCACTCGAGACCACAGACAATATACTATAAGCGACTGTCTTGAAATTATCTGTTTGTTCCATGAGATATACAAGGTATCAAATACTGGTTCTTCTGCCTCCGAGAAATATGGTTTAACCTTGGTACATACATCCGTAAAATCCTGTCTCTGTTCAAGATTTCTCTCACGA